ATACTTCCTGCAAAGACCTTATTGTGCATTACAACAAAAAAATAAGCATTTTTTTTTCTATATGGTGGTATCAATAACTCTATTTTTTATGATAGTGCCCTTTTGTACTGTCTAATTTTGTATTACCTCCGGAATAAGAGTAAGCTTATCATGTACTTTCATTCCTGAAAAATTCAGCTTGTGACACCGAAGTGGGAGGCAAAGTCAAAAAAATTTCAATCTATACCATACAAAAGCCCGTACCTGCGAGTTTAAAAGAATACATTTTTATTCGCAAATGCGAAAATGCAGAACGTATATTTGTTACTTAGTTGCTAACTAGAGGCAGCACCTCTCGGATAACTTTATTTTGTCTCTCTCTGGGAGGACTTGTTCAGACTTCTCTGTTCCAATGCACGCCCTTAAAGATAGTATTATCTGCAAAATCAAATACTAACTGTATCAACTATCTCGCGAAGGACATCATCTTAACTTTGTCTGGGTTAGGGGACATTCGGGGATACAAGGCAATGAAAATTTAGCTGCTAAAGAAGCCAGAATATCAGATAACTATATACAGACTCCAATATACCAAGACCTCAGCAACTTTTATAAAAATGAAATGTTCGAACAATGGATGTTATGGTGGAAAAAAGTAGCCTCTAATTCCAAAAACCCCTATTTTTTGCTCCACGAAGAACTCCCAAAAAAAGTACCACATATTTTCGAATACAAAGTTAACAAACACTATAGCAGCACAATTTCTAGAATGAAAATCAATCACGGTTGCTTTCCAGCTCATCTGAATAAAATAGGTATATTAGAAACCCCATACTGTGAAGCGGATGGGGAAACTGCAGATCTAAATCATATATTTTTTCAATGTGGCAAATATAATAATAACAAACTATTATTTAATTTAAATAAATTTAATATCAATCCACCTCTTCATATTACTACTTTACTCGCAACTTTTATTAAAAATATTTATGTAATAATATTAGAATTTGTCAATGAAAATAATATCATGATCTAGATTATTACTTGTATCATACCCACATGATAATCTAATAAAAAAAAATACCGTTTTGAGTGTGTGGCAAATGGCTTACAGTCGATGCCAAAAAAAAAAAAAATATACGAAGATGAAGCCTATTGATTCTGAAAAAATCTGAATAAATTGGAAGTTTTAACGGAGGTTAAAATATAAAAAGATCCTAACTCAAAAACGAAAAATGATATTAACATGATATTTTTAGTAATAATCAAGCTTTATAAAGAGATGAAGCTAATTGATTCTGAAAAAAAATTGAATAAAAATAGGGTGTTTAAGGAGGATTTAAATTAAAAAAAAGTCCTAACTCAAAAAAGAACAATAATATCATCTTTAAATTTTAAGCAAAAAACAAGCTCTATAAGGGGACAAAGCCTATTGATTTAAAAAAAAATCTGAATAAAATGGGGATCAAGAAGGGTTGAAATAAAAACAAGTATTAGAAATTAAAAATTAAAAAAAACCTACTTCAAAAACGTGCAGATGCCGTCACCACATCTTAACCAAATTTAAATGGGACTACCCCTGAGGTATTCCCTTACTAACAAAAAAGAATCATATAAATCGGACAAGGTGGTAAAGCATTATCGCTAAACATACATAAAAATGAAGAGTTTGAGGATTTTCTTACAGACCCAATTATTATATTTTGACCAAATTTATATGGGACCACCTCTGAAGTACCTCCTTTCTAACAAAAAAAGAATTATTGAAATCGGACACCGTGTTGAAGAATTATCGCTGAACATACATAAAAAAAATATATCTTGACGAATTGAGAACCTCCTCCTTTTTTGAAGTCGGTTAAAACTAGAAATCAAAAATCAAAAGCGGAATCAAAATGAAATGTTTAGTAAAAATCAAGCTCTATAAAGGCATTAATAAATAAAATTTAAAAAATGGGAGGACATAACGGGTATTGAAATATTGACAAAAATCCTAATTTAGGAAAATCAAGCTTTATAAGGGGATGAAGTCTATTGATTCTGAAAAAAATCTCATTACACCGGTTATTATACACAAAATTTAGCGCAAAATGTGAATATTTGTAATTTTACTAAAAACTTACACAATAATATACAGGGTGTTTAAAGAAAATATTTTATTTTTAATAAAATCCTGAGTATTTGATGTTTTAAAACTTTTTTGCACTGCTTACGTTTTAATATTATTAGGAAACCTATAATTTTAAAAGGAATTATTTTTTGAAGATTAAAAAAAAACTAGTTGATTAATCGCTAATAATTAAAACATTTATCTATAAAGTTTTCGACGGTTTTTTACGTTTTGGGCTCCCCTGAATCCGTTTTGACTATTTTCGCGATGGTGTCTGTGTCTGTGTATGCGTCTTGGTCTGTGTGTGTGTGAACAATATTATTTTCTGTAATTTTTGTTCTATACAAAATTTTCCTAAAATGGTCCGTATTCGAGAAATTTGACAAAATGTAAAAAAGTTTTTTTATAAAAATCAAATAAAGGTTGTTTGTAATATAATTCTCTATAATTTTTATTCTATACTTAATTTCTCTAAAATGTGGAAATTTCGATTTTTGAAGAAAACTCAAAAACGAATAAAGGAAAAAACTTAAGTTTTATTTCGGCCTAAGGTGAAATGATTAGATTTTGGACAAAGTCGGAACATCTGGGGGTACTTTATGGGAGGCCGTTTTTATATTTTATGGAATATATCTGTTATTTACGTTTGGAAAAGAAAATTCTTTTAATAAAAGTTACTTCAAATATTATTATCTATACTTTTTGTTTTATGCCAAATTTTCCTGAAATGGTCCGTATTTAACAAAATTCACAAAATTCAGATTTTTAAAAAAATTGTTAAACTAAAAGTTGTTTGCGATATCGATATCTATATTTTTTGTTTTTTACATGATTTTTCTAAAATGGAACGTAATAGTAATATTGGAGGAAAAGTGCTAAATTTAAATTTTTCAGTATTTTCGGTTTCAATGAATATCTATAGAAAAATGTTTCGAGTTAGATGTATGTGGAAAATGTATATATTTAGTTTATCCTCTAAACATTTGTAGAGGTGCTGTAATAAGTTGTACAAAATAACCGGAAAAATCCTATAACTAGATAAAAAAGTCATGTGTTGGATACATCAGATTTTTTAATTAAGCTTAAAACAATGTTAGGTAGGTGGTACCTCATATTTTAACATTATTAGTCTGTATTTTAATAAAATTTCCAATAACTGTATTTCGCATACTTTCTGAGAGTTACTTCAAGAGCATTTATATAGGGGATAATTGAAAGATCAAACGAACTTACCTGAAGTGAAGTTCTATCTCAATTATATGAAACGCATTGTTCGAGATGATCGAACCCGCCCACCCACACACCTTTAACAAAGATCATATCTACAAGATTCAAATACAATTACCGCTTTAAAAGAAAGACGTAAGACACGGTTCGTAGACAACACGGTGACCTCTTCGTTCGTTGCTAGGGAAGCGTGTGACGTCACGGAATGAAAAATCGAGCTGACAAAATATTCTACTATAATTTTTTTTTCCTTAAGGTTTTGGCTTTGGTAATTATATCAATTTGCCACAGATAAGTAAGGCTAAATTGCCTACACAAAAACGTATAGTAAAAAACTTACAGGGTGTTAAAGTAGACATTTTAAAAGTAATTTTTTGCTCTTAATTTTGAACGGGTTAACATATTTTTATGAAAATATACATGGAATGTAAGTATGCATTGATTAATAATGGAGTTAGTTGCGTTTAAAATTGTTTTAATTCTATAGGTTTAGAATGGTTCCGCACCCCTTTGACCCCCCTACTTTTAAGACAATGAAATTTAGTTTAAAACAGTACGTCAAAAAACATACATTTGTTTTTCTTCTAAGTATTTATTTGTGATAGCCCTAATTACTGAGTTAGAATCCCAATGAAGATACACTCGTTTTTTTAACGTAAATTTAACGTTATATGGTATAAAAAAATGTTATTGGTTCAAATTCAACGTTAAAATTTTAGTTGATAAGTTATACGTATATAAAATACTATTTTATAATGTATGTTTCTAATAATTTTTAACAGAATGTTGAAAATTTGATAAAATTATAAGTTTTTTTTATAACGTTTGGTTGTAAATAACGTTATTTTCCGCGACATTTCAACTATTTTTATTTTGGTTATTAACCAGTTTTTGACGTTTTTTATATATACGTGTGCTCATTGGGAGATTATAGCGAGAAAGACAACGAAATTTTTCTGTTGATCTACTGAATATTCACGATTTTTTACTGTTTTACAACTTCATAAATGATCATTATTTCAAGGGAATGTAAACGAAGTTATAAAATAGTAAAAAAAATCGTCAACAAATATTCAGTGGTTTAAGACCAACAGAAAAAGTTTCATTGTGAAAATTTTTCATTATGACCTTCCTACAAAGGCCTATAACTATAAAAAATTTTAAAACAGATGTAGGATTTGAGTGGCTTCCTGTTCTTAACTGAATTTCATTGTCTAAAAACGTAGGGGTGTCAAAGGAATGCGGAAACCTTTTAAAAATCTATAGAATTAAAACAATTTTAAACGCCACCTCCATTTGATTGGTCATTGTATACTTACAATCCATGTACATTTTCATAAAAATAAGCCGTTTTAGAGCATAAGAGCAAAAAGTTACTTTTGAAATTTCAACTTTTAAGTTTGTTACTATTTTTTATGTAAGCAAGTTAGTTTAAATCTTATTTTTAACCCCAGGCACTGTGGTAAAATTTACTGAACATCTTTTTGTTACACCTTGTATAATAGTAGAGAATATAGATAATTTACATGTGAATGTAAAAAAAGTATTTTTATTTTGTTCGTATGGTTTTTCAACTCGTTCTGCTCGTTTCAAGATTTTCTCTTCTGATAGAATAAAATTAGTGAACACTTGTACCATAAATAATTATTTTTTTTAATAAATAGAAGATGGTATCTATACTTACGTTGTCATTTTCAAATTATTAGAATTCAATTTTACTGGAACAACTTAAAGTGCATTTCACTGTACTTCATGTATCAAACACTAAATATAAACAATCACATTTCCTTTTTTCGAAGATAAACTGTCATCCTTATCCGTTCTTCTGATATATCCTGACCGTCTCTACAAGTTTAAAGTTATCTACGAGAGAATATAAAAACATCATCTTTTTGAATTTTTTTATTAGTTTTTACTTTCCAGTAAGGAAAGTAGGAAAGTATAGAAATCATGACTGAAATTATAAATAATTTATTGGATTTTCAATAAAATAAATCAAGATCTACGAATTTTCAAAATGAAGTTTGGACAATAAATTTTTGAAAATTGTGAATTTAATATATCGTAGGTAGACACAAATCGAAATCCGAAAGGTCAGAATTATCCGACATAAGTTGTAGAAATAATTTGAAAATTGAGAAACAAATCTCAAAAACCCCCCTACGAATTATTAAGACCACCCCCAAACCTCAAAGGTGAAAACAAATACCATGACGACATTGACTGTCCGTGATTTGTGGACGGAAATTTGAGGTATTATTCGGGCCAGGGGCCGTTTTAGGCTCGTTCTCAAATTCTCAAATACATCTATTCAGCATCGGTATATATGAGAAATGTATTGATGCAAACTAAGCATCAATGTATTTCTCATAGGCAAAGAAGGCCATGGCTGATGTTAATGCTAAAAAGTAATGTGTGAAACTGACTGCAATGTAGGGATGCGCACGATGTATCGATGTTAAAAAAACATCGATTTTTCTCTTTCGATTATCGATGTTTTTATCGATATTTTTTTATGCGATGTTTTTATTTAACATCGATGTTTTTTTATCTAATATCGATGTTTTTTAATTTTACGTGATTTACCGCCCGATGGAGATATTTTTTTTTATTAAAAATGTTAATACTTTTATTATTATGTAGGTATATTTATTTTTTTATTTTCGATTTACTGATTTAAAATTTGGCCAGGTAGAAATGTACTAATAAAAATATTATTTATCCTGAATTAGTGAATCTCGAGTAAAACAACTTATTTGTATATTGTTCATTATCGAGTCAAAGTTCTTGATTTTGATTATTTTTTCCCATTTGAATAATGATTTATTCCATCTAATAATTGATATAATTAATCGTAGAAATTAAATTGATTTATTAATTAAGCGTGTTTTATGCAATGTTCCTATCAGAAATTGAATCTTAACATTTTTTAATAATTAAAGTTATTCTAATTTTGACTTATAAAGTGGCATCTTTTGTAATCGCAGCAAGTGTCAAAATTATCTACTAACTATATTAAGAAAACAAATAAAAATAAACCATTTTTGGTATTAAATTCAATTGTTTTCGGAGAAGGAAGGTTGGTTATATAAAAATAAATTTGGTCGGTGAACTTATAATTAGTAATAGTTCTGGTTCGTTTGCTATTTTAAAAATCTAAATCCATTATTAATCTGAACAAAATAATCGAAACAAACGACAGTGACATAGTTTTATTGTAAAAAAACTAAAAATATTTATACATATCTATGCAAAATAACACATTTTCTTGAAAATTAACAAGTTTTGACAAGAAAATGAAAACTGTGATGATAAATATTTTAAAAGTATCAGATTGGTTTAAAGTTAACTATTATTTTCCAATCTTTATTTTTTAATATCTTTGATTGGAAGTACAAAAAAATATTGGTTAGTCATTTTTTATCAAACACAGTTTTATAAATAATTTAGTCAAAATTAGAAACAATTAAAATTTACCACCATTAAATTAAATAATAAACACACATTAGGACGACACTGGCTGTTCCTGCTTTCTACCACTTTTTACCTTTCGCTGATGTAGTCCAGCTCGTCTATCGGTTTATCTCGGCAAGGTAGAGAAAGATAATGAATTGGGCTACTGTATATTCCCATACTTTTGTAAAGTTCGAGTTAATTTTATATTTATGCTTTTTCACATTTAAAGGGACATTATTATTATTATTAATATTATGCTAAATAAAATGTATTTAAAATTAATAAACAACAATGGTACGTATTTTTATTTTTCATATTTTTCAAAAATAAAAAAATATTGCATCTATTGTGAATTGAAGAACCGCGTCGCGAAATGCAAAATTGACTACATGTTCAATGCTTAACTGAGCTAAAGAGTCATGTCAAGTGTGTGTATTTTATATGTTTTTAGTCGATATTTTTTACACCTTTCAGTTGACTAACGTGTCTTGTTTGCAGGAATTTTATAACTAAATCCTTGTAGTCTAAGAACCGAAATAAGGTCGACCTTCACCCATCTGTTTAATGGATGAAAGTTTCTTTTTATTAAATAAAATATTTTTATAAATATATCGCAAAAGGTTTGCCTAAGAAAATACGGTCCAGACTATTTATTTTCTTAAAATAAAAAAAACGACACCCTGTAAAGTATTCGTCAGATGCTCCGACAATGCCTTAACTTTAATCAGCTTATTGCAGGATATATTAACGCTTAAGTTTAAAATTTGGTGTTTTTCTCTTTATCCGTTTTTGGGTTGTCTTCAAAATTCGAAATTTGCAGTTTTCCTCAAATATCTCGAATTAGGTCCATTTTAGGGAAATTATGTATAGAGACAAAATAATAGAGAATAGCATGATAAGCAACTTTTATTATGATTCCTATACTTTCCTTATCTGTACACAGAAAAGAAAGCAAAAAATGGCCCTGATCGTATTTTCTTAGGCAACCCATTTGCGGTATATTTAAAAACATATTTTGTTTAATAAAAAAAAATCCATTAAACAGATGGGTGAAGGTCGACCTTACTTACGGATCCTGGACTATTGCATATGACACTTCCTGATGGTCCCGCCTACCACTTTACAAAATTCCAGCCGGGAGGTACACTGATTCAGTGGGGAGGTACGATCTATGGGTACTAGAGGTGGGAAGTTCGAATCTTTTTACTGAATTAATTCATTTGATTCATTCACCTAAAAAGATTCGTTCTTCAAGATTCGTTCTCAAGTGATTCACTTTAGCGAACCACGAACGATGTTATTCCGCCGATCCGGCGAAGGAAATCGAACCGAACTTTTACGAATTTGAGTACTACCTACCTACCTACCTACTAGGTCGTTGAGTAAAATAATTATAACCAGATTTATTTTAAAGTAAAGCAAATTAATGTTTCATATTTCATAAAAAAAAGGCAGCTGAATAATAAATACATCCTTGTCCGTTAAGATAAACAACAATAACACAATTTTTTTTAAATGCCAAATATATAGCCAAAATTAACGCAAAATTATATATTTACGATTCGTCATTTTTTGTTTTAATTTTACTTTGATTTAAATTTATTTATCAGACAACACGCATAAATTGTTTACCTAAGCTTAATACACACCTCCTGTAAAGCGAGAAAAACATTAAAGACACATACCGCCACCGCCTGTCAGTTAGAGTTCTCGTATTATGCCGTAGAACGTAGAACAAAAGCGACCAATTTGCCGATGCCGATGTAAAATACCAAATACCGAATCCGAATCGAATGAACGAAGCAACCAAACTCGGAACTCGGCGTGTTTGATCGATCGCAGAGCCATCGAGCAATTGACTCAAAAAAGATTCGAATCTTTTAAAAACAGGGAATCAATTCATTCGAGTCAGTGCACTGATTCGTTCTTTTTGAACGAATCGTTCGCGAACGACACACCTCTAATGGGTACGATCATAGCATAGATTTCATATTTTATTATCTAAGAAGGATCGTACTACCTTGCAGCCGCTAACTCTGAGTCTATTAATACTAAATAAAAATAAAATTCTTTCCATTGTCTTGTTTATTTGTTCGTTTATAAAAAACATCGATGTTTACAAAAACCGATGTTTTCTTTCCGATTTTTTTACAACATCGATAGTCTGTATTCGATGTATCATTTGATGTCAACATCGATGTTTTAAAAATTTTGCGCATCCCTACTGCAATGTGACCAATCAGAAGTCTACAGAATTGCCAACTCAACTTGAAATCGTTCCTCCTGCTTTAAAAACAGTATAGCAGGATAGAGATGAAACACGGTTCGTAGATAACACGGTGGTCTCTTCCGTCCGTTGCTAAGAAAGAGTGTGACATCACGGAATGAAAAATCGAGTTGACAGAAAATATTCTGCTGCGGTTAGTACATTAGTTTTTTCAAAAATCTAATATTTATATTAATATTTAGAGGTGTTTATATTTTTATTTTTGGACTATACACCTGTGTTCGAGTTTTCATAAAATCGATCATTTGATTTTTTGAAAGACAAGCTACAAAACGACATGGAAAAATCATGTAATGATTTCCATCAAATTTCATATGAATTACTTTTTATTTGAATTATAAAGAGAAATATTATTGTGTGAATGGTTTATTTTAAACATTTTGAATCAGGGTTCGGCCTCCAAGCTGAATTCGGATCACACTTTGTTTATATTCCGAAATATTTTGAAATTTTGACAATCATGGAGCGAGCAGTAGTTTTGCTGTTGGTAAACAATGTTTACTGTTTACACACAAAAATCGTTAGAATAAATAAAGGGACTGAGCCTAAACTGAAATTAAAGACTAATGGAAAAATTGTAGAGTAATTATTTTGCAAATATCATTCACTATTATTAAATTAATTGCAACTTTGTCCACCCTACATTTAAAAGCAGATGAGATGGTTTCTTACAAACATTAAAAACAACTGAGAGCAAAACAGTCAAAGGGCTTTACTAAAAGAACATACATTTTTGAAAAAAGGGTTTGCTACAAGAAGTTTTTAGTAAAAAGTACATTGTTACAAATCATTTTAAAGAAGAAAACAAGCGCCTTTTGGAGTTGAGAAGAAATTTGTAAAGCATTCACGATATTTGAGTTACTGGTGCTATCGTTACCTCAGAAATACTCGTAAGGTATTCCTTGTTGGGAGTTCAACTACAAAAGTGCGCTGCTAAAATAAATCTAAGATATTGTCTTTTGAATAATTTATTTAATTACTCCAAGTATATGTAATGTTAAATCTCCGCTGTTTGTTACCTATATTTATAGATCATTATAATAAAACTGGGTAGTTGTTTTATTATTATTTTTTAAGTAAATTCATACATTCTAGAAACTGACAAAATATATTTTTTATT